TACCTTATGAATATGCTGACCGATCCAGTAGTTCTTAGGCCACGTGTGGCTACTGAGTGCTGGGAAGGTGGCCAGCCAGTCACAAGAGAGGTGCCCGTAAGGGCAAAAAAACACCTTGCATTTCAGAGGTTTAGGATAGGAGGGGGGACTAAAAAGAAGTAAAATACCTCACTAACAATGTTCTATCTTGATTACGTGTTAAAAATGACCATAATCCTAAGACAGTGGGTTAAAAGGAGCTATTTAAGTTAATTGCCCACCCCACCCTTTTAACTTCTTTAAGTGGCTAGTAGACAATTAAAAACCAGTGAAGTGGCACATGTTGTATTTCCACTGGATTGTGCCACCTGCAAGCTGAGCATCCTACTTCCACGCACTTGGGCACCAACTCTGGCAGCCTGCTAAGAAGTCTGCACAAACTTTATTTCCGGATGTTACTTTCATCTCTGCATCAGGATGTAAAAAGAACCCACACAAAACACCTAATCCCCTTTTCTTTAAAGGTCGGTTAGTGCACCGGGAAGCAAAAGGAACTTCAATTCAGAGAGCAGTCTGGGGGAACCTGCCTTTGGGGTCACAAGTGCCCTTGGTAGAATTCCCCAGCCAGTCGGATATGACCTGGCCCTACGCATCCTCTCGGTATCTTGTCCATTTCAACATGAAGTACAAGAAAATCTTACTACAACACCAAAGAGTGCAACGCACCTCCTTAGCCCATTTCCAGGTAAACCTCCAAGCAACAGAAAGTTCACACATTTGGTGAATTCCAATAGAGGCTCTGAGTATAACCCTTCAAGGTTAAAGTAGGATATCAACTAGTGTCCGGGGGCCTTGCTATTGTGTGTTTTATTAAAAAAAACAACAATTTAGAAGCTATCTTAAAAAAAGAAAAGACCATGACCGATCTCTTTCCCCAGCCATGGTTTGTTTTTTTTTAAGCGTTTGTCTTAGAGGGTATAAATATGTGACATATTTTTAATACCTATTTTTCTTTTTTCCAACTCTAAGGTAGTTTAAAAAATGACATGAGCATGCATGAGGCTATTCTCCTAGAAACAATAAACACTACAATACTGACAGTGGGCACCTCCCTTGGAACCCCTCACAGCGGGCACCAAGAACCTTGTCAGGAGGCCATGACTACCCTGCACTCACACCACACACAGTGCTCGCTCACCTCAAGATGGAATGTTCTACACAATGGGTTTTATCAGTTTATATCAGGTAAATGCTAAAATAATTTCTGCAAGCCATGCCTTACCATATTGGTTCTAAAGCTACTGTGCCACGTATAAACTGTACCTCCCTCACTTTAAAGATGTTCTGAACAAACAAGTAGAGGTTCCGCAATGTCACTTTATTTTTTCTCACCATCAGACACTTGTACGATGACATAGGCAGCCACCGAGACTGAGGGAGGAATAGAAAGAGCCCTAACCAGACAATACTGTTTAACAATATAAAAATGGATTGCTAAAGACCATAGGTTGTTTCTACAGCTGAACAACTCTCAAGGTAGTTTCATCATTTGCAATAAGATGTGCTGTACGAGGGGACAGGGCTTTCCACTTGCCCACCTCCACACCAACAGACCTACTTAATATTTTATTACATGTTAATGGCCCCAACCTAACATAGTCTAAGGATCAAGTCGTATGAGAAGAGTGTTCCATTTCAAAACATACTGCTCTCTTAAACACACTCCTCACACAAAGGTGGTAACAGGCCTCTTTCTGAAAGCTCACTGCTGGTTCTGGTGTTTGAGTAATTGTCAACTAATGGAGCACCCACTAGGACAGCATTCAGCCTACACTCTCTCATTAGCCAAGAAGGGGAAAAGAACATCTGCTCCAGGTGCAAGGCCACCTCCTCAGGGAGGAAAACTGCACGTGGGCATTTCTAACAGAACGTGGTACTGTTCGACATTTGGGCATGCAAAGGTGCTAATCTCCATGGCACTAGAAAGAAAGAGGAAATCCACTGCATTAACCACTGCGGTACAAAGATAAGCACGCCTTCTGAGCTTTGCTGCACTGCATAGCATTCTGATGGGAGGAATGGCCCTCCCGAACACATGGAAGGAAACCCAGGTCATGATTTGTACGAGGGGGCACCCCGCCCCCCAAAACTGGAATTATGCTGGGCAGAGCGGAGCTTTCAGAGTGTGCGTTCTTTCCACAAGTGGGCCTCAAGCAACTCACTCTAAGGTAGTGCACAGGGTGGCATCACCTGGGAAGGTTCTCTCTGGTCACAGTGAATTTTTTCATAAAAGCAGTTTTACTTGAACCTAGTTTTTTGTGATAGTCGATTTAAGAGGAAAGCATGCAGCTGGGAAATTTTGTTTCCTGCTCTGGAAAATCCTGTAGAAACTGTTGTGATGTTGAACACAGCTTACAAGGACAGCACTATGGGAAAAAAGTCAAGTGTATGCATGGTTTTCTCGTTTCAAAAAAGGTGAAATGTTGATTCATGACAAACCACATTCTGGACATACGTCAACTTCCCAAAAGGATGAAAATGTGGACTCATGGTACATTTGAAGTTCGTCCCACCAGGACAGACTGTTAATCAAGTTTTCTATTTAGAGGTTCTGAAAAGATTGCATAATAGTGTGGGACAAAAAAGGACTGATTTGTGGCAGGTGGGGTACTGGCTTTGCCACCCAACAATGCACCTGCTCACGCAGCCATCTCAGCACGCCAGTTTTTGGTAAAAAACAGCATGTCTTTCATGCACCACGTACTTACTCACCTGACCTCCCTAAGTGCAACTTCTTTTTGTTTCCTTGAATGCAGAGAGACATGAAAGGACAGCGTTTGATGCCTTAGAAAAGGTAAATAAAAAAATGAGGGGGGCGCTGTCAGCCATCCAAACAGATGAGTTTGAAAAACATTTCCAACATCAGCCAGTGTAAGACATGAAAAAGTAATAATAATTTATAAATCATCAAGGGTTCATGAGGGAGGGACGGGGGTGGGGGGTGAGGGAGGGGAAAAATGAAGAGCTGATACCAAGGGCTCAAGTAGAAAGAAAATGTCTTAAAAATGATGGCAACAAATGTATAAATGTACTTGACACAATGTATGGATTGTGGTAAGGGTTGAATGAGCTCTCAATAGAATGATTAAAAAAAAGAAGAAAAATATTTCCAAGGATGGAATCACAGATTTGACAAATGTATTAAGTGTAATGGAGAGTACTTTGAAGGTGATAGGTTGTTTGGCAGAAAAATTTAAATACATAGCTTGGGGAGGGTGGGGGGATTCTGGTTTTCTTTGGGCACCCCCCTCGTATATGGAGCCGTTTACCCAGATGTCTCTGCAATCCAGGCCTGTGGGCACTTGTGTCAGGCTTGCAAATGGGCTGGAAGGAGTTGGTCTAAAAAAGAAAACCGCTTTAAATAGGCGCATTTTAACAGATAGAAAAATAACTCTGGATAAAATTATTTGTAGAATCACTCTATAAACCCAAACTCAAAATCTTATTTAATTATTTATATGTATATATAAAAATATACATATTTATGTACACAGACATATCTAAATTTCATTTACAATGTTATACATTTATGCCTGCATTTACTATGTATTTTAAGGTCAAATGCTTTAGCTTTATTTTTCCCACAGCAGCTAAATGTGTGGACAACATTGGTAACCCAGAGATTGCCCATGTTTAGTGTTCTAGTTTAGCTACTTATATACTCGAGTATAAGCCCACCCGACTCTCTGCCGAGGCACCAAATTTTACCACAAAGACTGCATTTAAAATGTGCTGAGAAGCTCGGGCATATACTCGAGTATATACGGTATTTCCAACCGGAGTGAGCTTCTACAAAGGACAAGGTGGTCAGCCAGAGTTGTGCGTGCACGGGGCCTGCACATAAAGCTCACTCTGGGAACAGGAACTTGAGGATGCCAAACAGATCGTCTGATTGGGTGCAACAAGATTCCAGACAAAGAAGAAACAATACAATCTCCCTCCTGCAACCATCGTTTCCACAAATGACAGGTATTGGGGTCCAGCATCACAGAGCTGTCGGGCAGAAGCAGGAAGCAATGAGGCAGGAGCAGAGCAGTCTATGTTAGCACCCGCACTGCAGCTAAAAAGTACTATCTGGACTACATTTTAAGAGATATAACATATTTATCATATTTTTGACTTTTTAATTTTTTGCCACTGAATATAATTTTTTTGCCTTAAATTTTCTAACTCTTCTACACCCTGAGGAATAAGAACAGACTAATAAAAGATATGTCAAGGCTAGTCTTGTGGGCCTTATTATCATCCAGAAAGCACAAACTATATATAGCTAATATTCTTGGAAGCACGAAGTTTCATCAGCAGGCTAGGCTACTGCTCTAGTTATTTGTTTTACGCAAAGAATTTGGTTTTATTGGGTTAACACGGCCTGACAGGCTAGGGCAAAAGCTGGGAGCATGAGACTCTCCCCAAAACACCCAGCCTCTGCCCCCAAATCCATCATGGTCACAATGGGTCTGCCCCCACCCCGCCTGACATACTGCTGCCCTTTAGGAACATACATTGTTGAACAGTTCTCTGTGAAGCACTTTGGAATTTCACTATATATTTTCATGAACGTATAATTAAAATGGTTTAGTACCTTGAAATATGAACTCCTACCCCCTCCCTTAACTCTCCATAAATACGTCTTGAATGCAACATGTACAATTTGATCTCAGTCTATACCCCTTGTTCTCAAATATTTCAAGATGGGGGCCTCATTTCTCCCTTTCAGCTTCCATGCACCAGGCTTGAATCTGGGAGTGAAGGAAGCTGCTTCAACGGACACCGCCGCCCGCTCAGGACCAGGGGCTGTTCTTGGAGGGCAGGGGCCATCGTTCCCTGCAGACACCGGCTACACAGGTGTTATGCCAGCGGTTCTCAACCTGTGGGTCTCGACCCCTTTGGGGGGTTGCACGACCCTTTCACAGGGGTCACCCGATTCCTAACAGTAGCAAAATGACAGTTATGAAGTAGCAACGAAAATAATTTTATGGTTGGGGGGGGGGGGGCCACATGAGGACGGTTGAGAACCACTGTGTTATGTTCAGCTGTGATTGTGCACATGCTGCCCTCTAAGTGTGATGCCTCCCCACCACCCCCACCCCAAGAGGTTAGCTGTCGTGGGTGCAGAAGTGGCTGCCTGAAGAGGATCAGAGTGAAACGTGCACCACAGCATCCTACCTGCCCGCAACAGTGTCATGTAAGGATAGGACAGCCCGTGGGGCAGACCGACCCGGCCCAGCATGGGGGAATCAAAGGATGAAGTTTCGCAATCCCCTGTTGGGTGGAACCCCCAGGAACTCCGGCTCCTCCCCTTAGCAGAAGTCCTCTTAGATTTGCCTGAACTTCAAATGCCAAAGCGCTTTGTTCCAAAAGAAGTAAGAAAGAAAGGCACTCGAATTAACATTGTATACAAAATTGTTTTTTCAAGACACTGTGCGATGGTAAATAAAACTCACAGGTCTGGTTTCCCCTGCACATGCACTGCCTTCCTGAAACTGAATTTGCCTGCCTCTCTGGGTGCGTTCTCCGCTGGAGCAGCACAGGCACACCCAGCCTCCGGGAGGCGGCTGCACTGTAGAAGGTTAGGGTTTGCGCAAAGCTCCCCTTGAGAAATTCATTCAAAAGACAGAAGGTTCAGTGGTTACAAGTTTTAAAATACAAATTTTCTAGTAACAAAATTTAAAAAGCTTCTTACAAAAGAAAACAGACCATGTGACTTCCTTTGGTAACGACAGCTTTCTCCTCTTTACAACTTCGCATGGAGACCAAGTGCAGAGAGGAGCCCTGACGGAGCCATGGGTCTGGCTGTCAGGGTCCATGGCTGACGGAGAGCCGGCACGTGGAAGTCCCCCACCCACGCCCTCTGCAGGAGAACGCGGTGGCAGTCTGCTTCGGTCAGGGTGACAGCCTCACTTGAAAACCTTACGGGGCCTTTCTATTTGGTCCTGGCAGCTTGTGAGGTCAACTACAGGGTTCTGTAGCCCACTGGTTGGCAACAGGCTAGTCCAGGTACTCCTAATTTAGGGACTTTCCTAAATTATATTGTGCACCTCTATCTGAGACCACATCTTGTGCTATAAAATGACTAGACTCACAATTTGTTTGCAACCACGTTAAAGTCTTCGCCCTAGTCTTCGCACGCGCACGCGCACACACACGAGAATCAACAAGCATGAACTGACACGACTTGAACATATCAAAACAACATTAAGTCTACCACACAGACTTTGCTGCTAGCTACCACATAAAAACAAGAGAGACAGGGTTTTCTACTCTCGTAGTTACTGTCTTGGAAACCCACACGGACAGCTCTATCCTGTCCTGTAGGGTCGCTGTGAGTTGGCATCAATCGATAGACCCAGGGGCAGTGAGTCTAAGAAATGTTTGCTTCTACAGCTTTTATCACATAAGCATGATTGAAAGATTCAAGTTGGTGGGGGGGGGGGGGTTTTTACAGCAACATGCACAGATTCAATCCTGTTAGTTATTAACAAGCCCTTTCCTTTACATTAGAACTGTACCACAGGAACGGGAATATGACTGGTGGTCTGGGCGCAGAGCTCTGAAGAGGTCAGCAGATGCCAAAGCCTAGAGCAGAGGGGACACTGCTAGGCATCAGGACCCTCGGGCTTGAGCAGTGTGTCCAATGGCCTTAAGAGACACCACAAGGTCCACCGTTCAAGTTGGGGAAACAAAGGAGACACGAAAAGTGGCCATGTCCAGAGACAGGGCTGAGCAAGTTGGGGGAAATCAAAGGGTTTCTTCAGATGCCCGCCTGTTCTGTTGGCAATGTCTGCCCGCTAACATCAATGGACCGCAGTGTTTTAATGCAGTGGGCTTCATTAGCTCTATGGAGTTTTATGCATTTTTAATACATAGTAAGGGACAGTTAGCTGATCATTCTAGTGCTGCATTCCTTAGCTGGGATTTAAACATGGTTAAACACAGCCATCAAATGAAGGAAAAAGCACCTAGATTTAACTATTTCTATAGGTAATGGAGTTCCCTCTACACTTCCTGTCCCTGGAATGCCTAGTTTATTCACAAACCACTGCACTTGGCCATCAAGTTCTTAGTCATCCATCACCCGGGACCAACCTCCCGCTGCTTCCATTCCTCATTCACTAATTTAATAAATAGTTAACGAGGCTTCACAATGTGCAAGGCACACCGCAGAATGTGGAAACATTGTGCTTCCAAACTGCAAATCAAACTCGCGGCCGTGGAGTTGACTTTGACCCACAGTGACCACCAATCTGTCCGGACAGTAGCGGGGCACCTTGACCACTGCACCAACAAGGGGGTGCCTTCCCCAAAGGGTCCTACTTAAAAAGGGGGGAGGGGACAGGGAGTGGATATTTACATATCTCACTACTTTTTGCTTGTCAGTAGTATTCCTAATCCACAGGATGGGACGGTATGAGGACTTTCTACTGGCTCCAGTGGGAGTCTAATGTTTGTCAATGTAAACTATCTTTTCCTTTCTACTAACTAGACATTAAGCAACAACAACAAAAAGAAGCCCATGAACACAGACAGGCTTTCCACTGTATGAATCCATTCTTTCAATAAAAGAGATACCATGCTACACTTAGCGAGTTTATACATAGGCCATTTGGGGGACTGGACATACCACAACCACATTAGGGAAACACTTTGTTTTTATGTTAAGGAACATTTGAAAATATAAGTTTAGAAAATAAAATAGCACACAAAGTAACATACTAATAAGCAGTATCCTTTTGGTTACTGATATTTTTACTTCTTTAGAACCTTAGTAGGAAGACAAGTGACCACAAGGTATTCAAGGACTGCATGGCTTCAGAAAGGGTAGGTTAAAAGCATTAAAATACCAGAGATGGGCAAGGGGCTCTGGGAAGGTGTAAAAAGGCAACAAGAGCACAGAGCTCTATGAAAGCTTAGCTGATGTTCCGCAGGGGATTAACTATTTACAGGCACTCTCACATCAAAGCCTAATAAGCCCTATGACTAGGGATAGACATTTAAAGTGATGCTGAGGCAAAGCAGTACTGAACGGAGCCAGAGTTGGGAGCATGTGAGTGAGATGGGCTGACCCTCTGCTCTTGTCCAGGTGATTGCCACCCCCGCCCGCCGGCCCATAGAAGCTCCCAGTCGCAGCTGATGGTGTGATCGACACAGGGCTAGACAGAATCTGAGGTATCTGATTCATGAGCATCTGGTCAAAGCACACTTGGTACACAAGGGCATTGGAATTATGTCAATAATAGCAATTAGTCTTCCAGCTAAGCATTGCGAATGCTGGATTTTCTTGTGTCCAGAGAGGAAAGTGATTTCCACTGGGACCAGGCAGGGCCATTTTTCTGGGCTCCTCAGTTACAGGGCAACATTTTGTCACTCAACCAAACTGTGATGTCCAAGTAAAGGGCCCATTTTCCTTCCCCTTAGGGCAATGACCAACCCAGAGTAGGATACGAGGCGTTCGTCTTTCCCCACCTACTGGTCCAGGGGACAGTGGGCAAAAGCGGTGGTCATGCTCCTTTCTGCCACTCTGGCCCCCAGGCAGCACATACACAGGCCACAGACATCTCTCACCGTGATGGAAACCTTCAGGGGAAGCTCTTTTTCACCTGGTCTGCCTGTGTGTGTGTGTGTGTGTGTGTGTGTGTTTTAATGGGGGATGAAGTTCATCGCAAATAGGATGGAGAAGAGACTATCTTCAGTACAATGAAGATACTGCTTATTCCTGAAATAAGGCAGATAAGGAAAAATATACAAAAAGTAAAACTGACAAAACACGTAGAGCAAATTGGGAGAGGAAGGTGGTACTGTAGGAAAGAAACACAGGCTTCTACACGGAGGTAATTACATTAGGACAGCAGGCGGTACGCTGCCCTTTCCCACCCCGAAGTCACCAAGCTGAAACCCAGCCCTTGTTACTGAAAAGATAAGATAACAGTTTTAAGGAGACACTTTGGAACCTCATCCCTGATAAGTTCAGTATCAAAGTTTTTGTTTTCATTTTTAAAATAAAGATTAAGGAATTAATCTTCAAACCCACTCTTTCCCCACTGGCTTTTGCCAGTAAACGTTCAACAGTCCCTTCACACGCGTTTTGCTGTTCCTCCAGTGTGCCCTCAGTAACGTAAATCCACCCAAAGCAGAAGCTGTGGTGGATACAGGTCTATGGAAGATGCATGTTTCCTCGGGGAATTGGAAGGACAAATGTAAAAGCGGTCATAACTAAAATGGCATTCCACATTTTTAAGAAAAAAGTATTTTATAAGGGACGGCTTGAGTATTTTTGGCATATACCAAATTTGAGGTAAAAATAACCTATCAAACTAGTAATAAAAATAAGTTTCAAGTACTGTAATTACATAAACTCTTAAAATTACTTGCTTTGTTTCCTTTACCTAAATGATCATTTTAAAAGCAGATTAGAATGGAAGCATGCTGTCACACAAATCCCAATACTCCTGACTCTGGTAACTAGAACACGCTAGAGAAATGGGTCTGCATTTTTACACGCCGGTCCCACATAGTCGTTTGCTTCTCAAAGCAACAATTATATCAGGTCATTTTTGCATTTGTGTTTACCTTAAGCCAAATTGAAAGATAAACTTTTAATTAAAAAATCAAACAAGCACACACCAGCTTAGACGCAGCAGTTGCACTGTGGCGGGAGTGTGTAAACCGAAAAGGAGAATCAAGTAAAAAGCCCCCTGTGAAGAAGCACCGAGGGCAAGACATGTTAAGAGGAGACATTTAAGACTCACTGTTCAGCAGGAGGGAATTATACCCATTGTTTTACCCCCAAGGGAATGCCAGTTCTTAACAAAATAAATAAAATGAGTTTCTAAGGATTTCTAACCTAAAGATGGTTAGCCAATAAAACAGTCCATGCAACTATGTCAATAAGAAAGGAAAGGAATATTGCACTAAAAGGGGACCCTTGCAGGGCTCATCCAGCTCCTTCACTGACTCAGAGTCACCAGCCACTTCCTGTAGGCATTGGCAAACCTGGCTTGCTCGACATTCCGGCAAGTGGACAGCACTTGATCAATGAACCGGTGCTCCATTTCCAGGCCCAAGAAGTCTGGAGCTGGGGTCCGCTTCAGGCGTTTGGTTTCCTGGGAATAGCCTTGCTTGGTAGAGTCCTTCAGTCCGTCCACCTCCATTGCCTGAGATGTGTGGGGGCCAGCGGGGGTGAGGGGCAAGTCGCTCAGAGTGCCCCCAGGGCTGTCTGCTGAGGACAACTGGGTCCCGCGGTGAGGAAGCCTCCCGTTTAAACGATGCTGAAGATAGAAGATGTGCCTCCTGGGAAGGGAAAACGGAACAGGAGACATGAACAGCACTGCGCAGAGCCCAACTTCTCAGGAAAACCCCAAGGCTGGCGCCCATCCCGCCCGTCTCTTTCATAACCCAGAGCAGTCTGGGAGGGGGAGGAGGGAAGGGCAAAGAGCTGAGATGAAGGCTTTTGGCAACCGGATAAGGCCCATTTTACTGGTTTGCTGGTGAAAAAGAACACTACTAGCCCAGCTCTTGCAATCAACATAAGGTTTGGGGCTGTTATTCTCTGCTAATTATCATAGGAATCAGAAATGGGTCTTAGCTCAGTTTCTGTTGTAAATTATAAAGCCACATCAAGCCAGACAGGAGCCTTGTTGACATCCTGACACACAAGGGGGTAAAGCAGTGCCTCCGGGGCTTGGTCTACAGGCCCTGCCCAGTGCTTGCTGTCTTTCTAAGCGCAGCACTTGCGGCCGTTGGTGTTCTGACGTAGCAGCCAAGCGAACGCCCCTGAATCGTGGGCTATCGTCTCCCGACACAGCCACAGCCCGTGGGGGTGAGCTGGGCCCTGAGCAGTCAGCACGCAGACCTCTGCTTCCTCTACTGGGCAGCATTCTCCCTGGTCTTACAACCCCCTGGAGGGACTTGGCCACAATGAAGGTGCGTGCTCATCTCTAAAAGGTGCAATTCAGTGAGGGCGCATCTACTGTGCGTGAGAGCAAGTAAACAACACAGGTTCTGAACGGCTATTCATCATTTTTCTTATTAGCCACTGTCTACCCTTTAGAGACTATTCTGTTAGTTTCTCCAGCGTCTGAAGGAGACGACTCCAGGGAGGATCTAACGTGCCCACTTTGTGGAGGATGAAACTTAGAGAGCAGCTGAGTTTTCTAAGGAAAATGGGTCAGCAGTGGGGCACTGGCCTGTGTCCTATATGGCCAATCCCAACTGTCTCCCCTTCTCTCTCCTTGCCCCGGACTCCGCAGCTCATCTACCTAACACACACACACACACACACACACACACACACACTTTCTCTCTTTCTCTGAGAGTTTAGTCATCTGTATAAACAACAAATCTGTAAGACCTTAACAACCTGCATCTAAGGTCTTTCATGAGAATAGAGTAAAACGTGTCTTGGTTTTAGAAGGAAAGGAGAATCTTATGCTTACAAATTTAGTCCTATAAGCCCTGAAGTAGAATGTTTTTATAAAGACAAGGGTCTCAAATTAGAAGACCAAAAAAAAAAAAAAAGAAAAGAAAGAGTTCACAAACCATTTCTACCATGAAATGTACTTGACTGTCAGAGGTAGTCAGAATCCAAGTTATGTGGTTGCTAACCCCTTCTCATTCTTTTAGTCCTGTGTCCCGCCTACACCTTCCTTTAAAACAGCAAAAAGGGTCGAGGAAGCTAGTTTATAGACCATTGGGGCCTGAGGAATGATACAGGTTAATTTCTTTGGGGCCTAATCAATGGTTCTAAACCCTGACAGCATCAAAATGACCTACTTGGGTTTGTCTGTCTGCTTTCCAAGCACAGGACTGTTTCTTAGCACCCAACCCAGTCCCTCAAAGAGCAGAATCCCAAAGGTGAAACCCAAAAGCCTCTGTTTACTTTTGGAAGCAATACAGCTAGTCTCTTACAACGCTGAATGCCACCACTCAGCCACAGACGAGAATCTGAGTGTGAAGCCTTCGGGTAGGAACCCAAGGGAGTAGAGGGGAGAGAAGTCGGATTTCAGGCCTTGTGGGGCTCTCCTAAGCAAAGACAGTCTTGCTTTGGAATGGGCTTCTCCCTTCCTTACCTATGACACCACAGGGTCTCATGTCCTGGGTAGGTATCGATGAGATCGGTGGTGAATTCAACTTCCTCTTCTAGAAGATGAGAAAGATTCATCCTCGGTTCCTCTGTTGAAATTGCAGCTTCATCTTTTTGAAGGACTAGGTCTGGCTCGCTTCTCGAAGGATTCTGGTCCAACACAGAACCATCTGGTACAGTTTGGCTAATCAAAGACTTTATTAAAAACTGGCGGTAGTGAAATCCACTGTGGTCGGACACGTGCAAGGACGCCCAATGCTTAGTAGAAGACAGTTCATCAAGAAGCGTCTTATAGGAAACAAACAAAGGGGAAGTGGGAGTGAGAAAGGGAATTTCTAAATGTTGTTCTTTCCCCAAAATGTTGCTCTTTTTGGGGGCGGTGGTGGCACATTATTCCCACTAATATTCCCGAATTCCTTCTATCTTGCTGTAAAATGAGGCTATGGTTATTTTATGAATTACCAGGTATTATTTGTAACATGATGTCCAGTAAGCACAATGCTGCACTTATGCTAGTTTGCCTTCCCTTACAGATACTGTATATAAAAGACAACCCACCGACTCATTGCCACTGGCGATCTTACAGGGCAGAACAGAACTGTCCCTGTGGGTTGTAGAGACTGGGTATCTTTACTAGAGTAGAAAGCCTCATCTTTCTCCTGAAGAGGGGTTGTGGTTTTGTGTAACTGACTACTCCGCTGCGGTTGCCTTACAATCGTGCTGCCATTAAGTAGCTTCTCAACTCTCAGCAGCACTGTGTAAGGGGCTCTGGTGGCACACTGGACTGCGAACTGCAAGGCCAGTGCTTTATACCCACCGGCTGTTCCACAAGCGAAAGATGAGGCTATCTGTTTCTGTAGAGACTCTGGGAGCTCTGGGGGGTTATGCGCTGAGTTGCTAACCACAAGGTCAGTGGTTTGAACCCACCAGCAACTCAGTGAGTAAACAGTGAGGCTGTTTACTACTGTACTTGGAAACCCAAAGGGCCAGTCCTGCACTGTCCTACAGGGTCACTGAGTATAAAGACAGAAGACATGAAAAATACCATGGAATGTGGGGGGTATTTGTCATTCTTTTTCTTGACCTTGGTTAATCACATTCCAATGGGCACCCACAGAGAAAAGTCCATTTTTAAAAATAATATTAGTGCGTTCATTTACAATTATTGCTGACATATAAGGAAAAATGATAAATTCAGAGGTTAATTTGACAGAACTTCCTTTTATAGTTAACAAATAACAGGGAGCTCCAAAAAGGTTTTGGGGAAAGTCCATGCTCTATTGATTCCATTTCCTGAGGGTTTCCGGAGCTCCCTCGATGCACGGTACTGCCATGTCCAACAACAGCTCGCTGGGGTATTCAGCCTTCACACGGGGAGCCGCAGGACCAAGACCTTGTCTGACTTGTGCACTGCTCCCCTCTAAGAGTACATCCGCCTAGCGAACTACGGACTTTTTAAGCATTCAGAGTTCCTGTACTCATCCTAAACTCATGTAACAGCAATGATAAATGTGTTTCTAAAACAGGTAAAAGAAAATTCAGCTGTGTATTGTTTGAAGCTCTGTGCCACCAAGCCTGCAGGTGAGGAAATTTCAAATAGAATGATAAAATTTGGTCATCTGGCAGTGTCTGGAGGAAGTACCAAAGCTATACGGATATTGATAGGTTAAAAGGCATAAAACTGAGCAAAGAAAGGCACTACCAGCCACCAATGGACCTCAGCATCCTGCAGGGAAGCAAAGGGGACTTCGGGGGAGACAGCCCCTCGAAAGACAGTGCAGGTGCAACCACTATGGAAAAGTTTGGCGATTACCCTAAGTTAAACAGAACTGGCCCAAACCCACTGCCAACAAGTCGGTTCCGACCCACAGGGAGCCTCTGTTGACAGGGCTTCCGAGACGTAATCTTACAGGAGTAGGCGGCTTCATTTCTTCTGTGGGGTAGCTGGTGGGTTTGAACTGTTGATTTTGTGGTCAGCAGCCCACAGTGCCTCCAGGGCTTCTTTAGAATGACCACATGACCCATCAATTCCAGGCTTAGGGACAGACCCAAAGAAAACGAAATCAGAGACAAACATGCACGCATACGTGAATATGCACAACAGTATGAGTCAAACTGTGGAAGCACCCCGATCGATACCTGTCCCTGGCTGGGTAGGCAACCTGTGGGACAGGCACAGAATGAAATCTCGGTCAGTCACAGCAGAGAATGAAGTCCGGATCTATCCTCTAACAGGCATGGACCCAGAGGACAGCATACTAAAAGTAAAGGAAGTCAGCCCTGTCACCCCCCCCAAAGAGAACACATACGTGCTATAAGCAATGCCCATTGCAAATAGAGCTAGAAAGTATGTTAGTGGCCAGCAGGGGTGGAGGAAGAAGTAGAACAGGCTGCAAGTGCTTACCAGATACAGGGTTTCCTTTTGGAACTAAAGAGAGGTTGTGGTTGCACAATATTGTAATGTATGGAATGACAATGACCCTCTTGTTTAAATCTTGCCCTCTTCTGAACCTATGGATTTTTTGTGTCTATCTTTTCACCCCCATTAACCTCTACAAGTTTTTAAGATAGTTATTCATCCTTAATGGATGTTTCCATCCCCCTATGCCTACCACCATCAGATGGGGGCAGGGGCACAACATACTAAGAATAAAGGAATGAATGGACAATTTGATGAATGAAGTGACTCGTATAAGAAGACGTCAGGCGATGTTTTCAATTTCTCCTCTAAATTCTTAGTGTTTATTCAGCCTTATTGCTGAGGCTATAGCTGCCGAGACTCTGAGAAGTGGAAAACGAGATCATTTACTCGATTACAAAGATGAGCAACATAGCATCAGATGAACTTCTACCTGGGTGGCGGTGAATTCAATCTTAAGATGATTACACACCAGAAGCATCAACCTGCAGGACAGTTATGCTCTAATGCACCCCGTTTTAATTTTGTATGGCTTCTACACACAGATAAAAAAGGGTATTAGATTTGCTTAAAAGGGACTTACATGACAAAAAAAAAAAATCTAGATTCTTTTTATTGGATTTTTCTCGGTATAAAAATTGGAATTTTGTGTCTATAATTTGAGCAGAAATCATGTGCACATGAAATGCTAAAAAGAAAAATGTTTTCAACAAAATCAATTTAGTGTCTTTAAAACCACTCTCTCGGCTTTTCTATGTACAGAGCTTAATTTTAACACATATTTGGGATACACATTCATACAGACTTTATTGCATTTAAATTATAAACATATTCCCATGTCATTAAATAGTGTTGTATAGCTTTTCAAAGTGTCCTTCCAGTAGAATATATATGTCCACTAAAAATACATGCTAATGCCAGTTCTTTAAGAATCTTGTCAATATTCATAATTCATTATGTGAAAAAAATTGTATTTCATTTAAAATGTTTCTTTATGAATAGGGCCAAATATCTCGTAGGTTTTGTCTTTTTTAGTGAACCGGCTGTTTTGTCCATCTTCTTTTATGAATTGCCTCATTTATTACGGGTGCTAATCATTACTGCAGATATTAATGATAGAACTTGGCTTTAGATATTAAAGACTGAACTTAGCTTCTATTTGCCTTATGTAAATATTACTCAAGTTATTTTAAAAATTCATTTTCTTTGTAAGATTTTATTCCCTTTCTTTTTTTAATAAATCATTTTATTGGGGCCTCTTACAGCTTATAACAAACCATACACCAACTGTATCGAGCACATTTGTACACGTTGCCATCATTTTCAAAATATTTTCTTTCTACTTGAGACCTTGGCAACAGCTCCCCCCCCCCCATCCCTTGTAATCGTTGACAAATTATTGATTTCATATCTTACACTGGGCACTGTTTCCCTTCACATTTCTGTTGTCTGTCCCTTGGAGTGGTGGTGGTATACATCGATCATTGCGATTGGTTCGCCCTTTCTCCCTCTACCTTCCTCCTACCCGCATAGTATCCCTACTCCCATTATTGTTCCTGAGGGGTTTATCTGTCCTGGTTTCCATGTGCCAAGAGCTCTTACCAGTGTACATGCTCCGGTCTAGCAGGATTTGCAAAGTAGATCTCGGGTCATGACAGTGTGGGGAGAGGAAGCATTGAAGAACTAGAGGAATGCTGTGTGCTTCATCTGTGCTACATTGGACCCTGGCTGGCGCATCCCTTCTTTGTGACCCTTCTATGAGGGAACGTCCCACTGTCTACAGATGGGCTTTGGGTCTCCACACTGACCTCCCTCATTCACATCAATGATCGTTTGGGTTTTCTGACGCCTGTTACCTGATCCTGTGGACACTTCGTGATCACACAGGCTGGTGTGTTTTTCCATGTGGGCTCTGTTTCTTCCCTGCTAGATGTCCACTTATTTAACTTCAAGCTATATCTTTAATAGGTGGCATCAGCTTTCTTCACATTTGCTTATGCACCCATTTTGATTTCAGCAATCCTTTCAGGAAGGTGAGCATTATAAAACGCCAGGTTATTAGAAAAAAGTGTTCTTGAATTGAGAGAAGATGCCAATGCCCATCTGCTACCTTGACACATAGCATATATGTACATAAACTTATATCCCTATCATTATATATTAATATATTTACATCATACATGCCTATATTTATACCTCTATAAATGTCTTTTGCCTATTTCACTTTACTTTCCTCCGGTCCCACTATCATGTTTGACCTTCAATCGGCTCTCAAGAATTCCTCTTGGCTACATTGCTCTTGATCAAACCCCACCAGGTGTTTCCCACTCTCCTTGCGATTGATGTTAGATCTCTTGTTGTTCCCTTATCCCTGGGTGTGTTGGCTCTGCACTTCCTTTTCTCCACCTCCCCTTCTCCCCTTACTCTCCAGAACTGTGCATCCCTTTGTTTCCCTCTCGGGATTATTTACCTTCCCTATCTTATATAGGGGGAAAAGAAGACATGAAGAAGACAAGGGCCTATAAATAGTTCCAGGTCTGTCTCCTGACCCCTATGGATTCCATTTGGTATATTATGTGAGGTAAGAAGCTAAATGAATTATATTCTAAAATCAAACAATTTTACCAGGATAATAAATGAAATTCACTGTCATCTAGTCAATTCTGAGTCATAGCAATCCTATGGGACAGAGCAAAACTGCCCCTCTGGGTTTCTGAGACTGCAACCTTCGCCTTTCTCGCTGGGTGTGGATAGTGGTTTTAAACTGCTGACCTTTTAGTTAGCAGCCCAACAAGTAACCCACTAGGCCACTCTGGCTGCTCCTAGCATAATAAACAGAACAAATAGTCAATTCTTTAATTAGGTTAAC